TTCCTCCAAACAACTGAATTTCAAAAGATCTTGGATAACACCAGTTTCCGTCCACTTTCTGTCCAGCTTCTGTGCAACGTCGTGTGAAAATGCAAGGCACAAATCCAGTTTTGTTTGGGATTTGTGTGGATTAACCAGCAGATTTGCCCCGTATGATAACGTCCGTCTCATATTTACTGATATACAGGTTGAGTTTCCTTTATCCGGAATTCCAAAATCCAAAATATTCCAAAATTGTCCACATGGGTGGCTAAGATAATGACACTTTTGCTTTCTGATGGTTCAACGTACGCAAACTTTGATTTGTGCACAATTTGTGTTATTTAAAATGTTGTGTATAAAATTACCTTCAGGCTATGTGCATAAGGTATATATAAAACATAAATGAATTTCGTGTTTAGACTTGGGTCTTGTCACCAAGATATTTCATTATGCATAAGCAAGTATTCCAAAATCTGAAAAATCTAGTCCCAAGCATTTTGGATAAGGGAGACTCAACCTGTACTGCCTCTATTGACAAAAGTTTTATTTAAGGATAACAGTAATTTTCTAGGCTCGATATCAGAGTGGGGTTTGCGCACATCTCTGGGATAGAAAGTTGGGAAACTTCTTCTCCAGCAAAGAAGGTAAATGAAAAGACCTCAACAGAACAAGTGATAGAAAACTTTCATATATCCTACACACCTGCCATTAGCAGCTCAGTTTCTACATACACAGTTCTTGCCATGGTTTAATTTGCACAAGCAACAGGGGATGGTTAAGTATCCCATATAATTTCAAAATGTGTGGACCATTGAATTAATTCCTATGGGGCAGGGGAGGGCATGTACATAATAATTTGGCTTCTTGTTGAATATTTATGAGATAAACCTGATTTGCAGTATCATAACTTTGAGGATTCACTTTTGTGACTTAATGAGCAAACATTAATCCCAAAATCTACCTTTTCAGCAAGGCAGCACCCAACCAGAGGTTTTCTAATGTGGTTCAGATCTGGGCACTGGGAAATGACAACCAGTGCTCTTCCCATTGCAGGATGTGCTGAGAAAGCAGTTGCAATGGGATCCAGCGTGTTCTCTCCAGCTGCCTATCTCATAAATGAAAGAATATTTGTGATCATCACCACCTCCCCAGTCTGCAGCAGCCCAGAAACTTCATTTGGGGCAGTGCCTTGCTTAGGAGATAAATTATTGTGGGGTGGCATTAGCACCAGTAGCTATGACAATGGAAGTCCATCATCTTAGATACATCTGATCTCGGCTATAATTTTCTGTGTGCGGGGGGGGGGGGGGGGGGGGGGGGGGATTAAATCTGCAACAAAAATTTGCAGCATGAATTGCTCCTGTTCAGGATTACAGATCCAAAACAGCACCTTCATTTCTTTCATCCTTCTCCCAGCTCTAAGCAGACCTAGGCATTCTGTAGTAGCTGGGCATGCTGAGTCAGGCTGTTAAAAAACTACTCTGTTGGACTACAGTGTCCAGAATCCCCAACCCAGTTACTGGGATGTTCTGGGAGCTGTAGTCCAATTTTATTTTTAAAGCAATATCTCCAAGCTCTGCTCTTCCCCTAGGATTCCCTTATGAAAAAATAAGATGTTTTTTATCCAGTACTTCCTGCAAACTTTGGGTTTCCCCAACCTTACTGTTGCCTCCCTCTTGTGCATGGATCATGCCATTGTGGTTACATGTGGCCTGAGCCAGAGATAAGGGTGTTCATTCCTGGTACATGCAAAATGGAAGCACATTCAGTTACACCAGCTGAGGTCCTGAATCGAACACGCAGTCGCTATGTCATGACTGAGATCTGTCTCCTAAGCTGACTGCTGAAACACACCTTAAAATCCAGCCAAGCCTCACTAAGGGATAGAGTTCTGTGGTGCTGGCAACTTTGGTGGAGAATGGGACATCCAGTCCTCTCCCAGTAGAAGCCCTGGTGCGCCAACCTGAAGCAGGAAGTCCTTCCAGTATCCTGCAACAACTCAATGTATGTCAGCTTGCTGGCAGAAGGGCAATGGACATACCTGTATTCAGTGCCCTGCATGCCAGCATTGCAGAACTCTGTCATTGAATGTGGCTGGTTGGCTATCAGAGTGAATTTCAGGGGCATTTATGATTGTAGCATCATTATTAATGTGAATAGGAGATAGTCCACAAGGTCATAAGCCTAGCTTGCGACATCCTGCTTGGAGAAGTTATAGCATAAGCTTTCGTAGACTTGGTCTACTTCCTCAGATTTATGGAGTAAACTGGTGCCCAGGAACTTTATTATCAAACTGTGTGAATAGCTATAGAAATGCAAAACTTGTGGGTATGGTGGTGACATGACAAATTCAGTTTTAACTATGGTCATTGAGGGACAAAGGACGTTATCACACGTGGGCCAAAAAGCAATAATAAAGTGGAAATG